CTTGCTCCCTCCTCCCTATGACTTCCTCCCACATATTTATACATGGCTATCATGTCTCCTCTCAGCCTTCTCTTCTTCAGGCTAAACATGCCCAGCTCTTTAAGCCGCTCCTCATAGGGATTGTTCTCCAGACCCTTGATCGTTTTAGTCACCCTCCTCTGGACACATTCCAGCTTGCTCTGCTTTCAGAAAAGCTGCCAGGGTTGGACGCACTTCTCTCCATGGCCTTATCTAGAACTTCATCACACTAGAGAATGAATCCGGTGTCTGCCTCCTGCAGAATTCTGGGGTTTGTAGTTTAGAGAGGAGTCTTTCACAGCCTCACTAAACCACAAACACCAGAATTCTACAGCAGGCAGGAACCCGATTTAAAGTGGATTCATTCTTTAGTGCAAGGGTCCTCAAACTAAGTCCCAAGGGCCCTCTCTCAGGGTCAACCTAAGTCTGAAAAGACTTGAAAGCACACCACTACAACAGTCTCCTGTGCTATGCTAATAATTATATATAATTATAATAATATAATATATTGTATATACATATAATATTTATAATATTATAATGTAATACAATATAATAATATGATATTATAATTACATATTTTATATTACATGTAATATTTCTAAGAATATTACAATATAATGATATAGTACAATATAGTAATATATAATAATGATATTGCACTATGCTAATAATATAATATATTGTATTTAACTATTTTTATATATCTTGTAAGCTGCTCTGAGTCCCCTTCTGGGTGAGAAGGGTGGCATATAAATGTCATAAATAAATAAACAAACAACAATTCTATCTCATCAGCCAAAAGCAAGCTCACACTTTCTTTTGAAATACTTTATATTTGTTTATATTTCTTAAAATTGCTCTTCATTTTAATTACTGTATTGTTTTAGGGTTTTTTTTAACTACAAATAAAATATGTGCAATGTGCATAGGAATTCATTCATGTGTTTTTGGGGTATTTTTTCAAATTATAATCCGACCCTCCAACAGTTTGAGGGACTGTGACCTTGGCCCTCTGTTTAAAAAGTTTGAGGACTCCTGCTCTCATGTGATGAGGTCTCTACATTGCCAATACAGTTAAGTTTGGAATTGTAATGTCGAAGGCTTTCATAGCCAGAATCACTGGGTTGCTGTGAGTTTTTCCAGGTTGTATGGTCATGTTCCAGAAGCATTCTCTTCTGACGTTGCGCCCACATCTATGACAGGCATCCTCAGATGTTGTGCAGTCTGTTGGAAACTAGGCAAGTGGGGTGTATCTATGAACAAGAGCTTTAAGGTCAGCTGGGGAGGCCCTGCTCTTGGTCCCACCCCCTTCGCAAGTGTGATTGGTGGGGACGAGCAACAGGGCCTTCTCAGTGGTGGTCCCTTGGCTTTGGAACTCCCTCCACAGTGACATCAGGCAGGCCCCATCTCTTCTGGTTTTCGGAAAAAAGTTAAACACCTGGCTCCGTATACAAGCATTTGAAGAATAAGTTATCACAGATTTTGACACAGTCTGAATAAGGATTATGAGCAAGGATGATGGATGAATGAAATCATGCACTTTTGTGTTTTTAATCTGTTTATTGTTCTATGTGTTTTATTTGTTCAGTTATTTTAATTGTTTTTAGTTGATGGAATACATTTTATTGTTATGTGTTTAAGCGGCATTGAATCCTGCTGGGAGTTGTAAGCTGCCTTGAGTCCCGTATGGGGTGAGAAAGGTAGGGTATAAATGATGCAAATCAATCAATTTATATATGTATGGAAAAATGTCCAGGGTGGGAGAAAGAACTCTTGTCTGCTTCAGGCAGGTGTGAATGTTGCAATTGGCCGCCTTGATTAGCATCTAATGGCCTTGCAGCTTCAAGGTCTAGCTGCTTCTTGCCTGGGGGAATCCTTTGTTAAGCAGTGATTAGCTGGTCCTGATTGTTTCTTGTCTGGAATTCCCGTTTCTGAGTGTTGTTCTTTCAACAGAAAGGAGGAAACCATGAAAATGAAGAAAAATCTGGCTACCTGTATTTAAAAAAAGCTCTAAAATCAAAACAGTAAATTTATTTATTATTTATTTATTTACCTAATTTATGGCCTGCCTTTCTCTACCCCAAGGGGGACTCAAGGCGGCTTACATATGACACCTACACATTTCACAGATACATAAAGCTCACTTGCCTAGTTTCCAACTGACCTCACAATCTCAGAGGATGCCTGCCATAGATATGGGTGAAATGTCAGGAGGGAATGCTTCTGGAACATGGCCATACAGACTAGATAATTCACAGCAACCAAGCTTGAAATTGCATTTTATAATCAGTGTAGACTCCTATAATGCAGTTTAACTTCTATCTACAGCCAGTATAGACTTGTATCATGCATGCAGTTTAACTGCATGGTGCGAGCCTACACTGACTGTATCATGCAGTTTCAAACTGTATCACAGATGGATACATATGATGCATATGGCTGTATAGATGGGGCTCCCATGCCTGCCTCCACCCCCTTTCTTTTTTTCATTCCACAGAAAATAAAAATAGTCTGAGGTTCCATTGTTACTCGACTCTGGAGAGGTATGCGCTCCAGTCCCCTTTGCACAGGATGTTTGGAGGGTTAAGGGAAAGCAAAGTTATGCTTGACAAGATGAGAAGAGGTCACTCACCAAGCCCTAAGCCCAAGGAGGGTTGGGGTTTGGTTGTAACAAAAAGAGAGGCAGGAGGAAGACATTGAAGGTGGTCTTTTGTAAGCAGTGAGAAATAAGGTTTTTGTTTCTTGTGTTGTGGAAGTTTTTCATGGCCAGAATCACTAGGTTGCTGTGGGTTCTCCGGGCTGTATGGCCATGTTTTTGTTTCTTGCAAGACAAGAGATCAGTTTGCTTCAGTGAGCCCCTTTCCACCACCCCCCCCCCCCGCCCCAGAAATATATGGGACGCAGCATCTAAGTATGTGGTGCTGCGCTGTTGAACTTCCCAGGGAAACCTCCAAACTACTTAGAAAGGCAAAAGAGGAGTATCCCAATGACAAGTCCTATCAAAGAGCTTTGAGGTCAATGAGACTTTCCTGCAAAGTAATGACCAGTTTGCAGGGGATCTGTAGATTCAACCGGAGCTCTAACGAAGACAAAGGGCTACAGGAGGATTGAAAGCAAGAAGAAACTCCCTGACTTAGGTGCATCTACCTCAGGTCTGGGCAAACTTCAGCCCTCCAGGTGTTTTGGACTTCAGCTCCCACAATTCCTCACAGCCTCGGGGCCTTCCCCCCCCCCCCCAAGCTGCTTAAGCTCCCAGTGGCGCAATGGGTTAAACCCTTGTGCCAGTAGGACTGCTGACCTAAAGGTCAAAGGTTCAAATCCGGGGAGTGGGGTGAGCTCCTGAGCATCAGCTCCAACTTCTCATGCAGGGACATGAGAGAAGCCTCCCACAGGATGGTAAAATATCCAGAACAGGCCAGTTCTCACAACAGAAGTGACTGATACACACACACACACACACAAATAACATGGATGCTCAAATCCCATTATATACAAAGGCATGATAAAATAGTCCCTCTTATAGTAAAATCAGTGTTGTTCTTATTTACTGTTTTGATTTTAGAGGGTTTTTTTAAAATACTGGTAGCTAGATTTTGTTTATTTTCAAGGTTTCTTCCTTTCTGTTGAAATAACAACTCTCAAAAACAGGGGGAATTCCAGACAAGAAATGTCCAGGGTGGGAGAAAGAACTTTTGTCTGTTTGAGGCAGGTGTGAGTGTTGCAGTTGGCCACCTTGATTAGCATGTAATGGCCTTGTAGCTTCACGGTCTGGCTGCTTCCTGCCTGGGGGAATCCTTTGTTGGGAGGTGATTAGCTGGCTCTGATTGTTTCTTGTCTGGAATCCCTCTTTTTTTTTAGTGTTATTCTTTATTTACTGTTTTGATTTAGAGGTTTTTTAAAAAATTACTGGTAGCTAGATTTTGTTCATTTTAATGGTTTCCTCCTTTCTGTTGAAAGAACAGCATTCAAAAAACAGGAGAATTCCAACAGAAACAAATCAGAGCCAGCTAATCACCTCCTAACAAAGGATTCTCCTAAACAATAAGCAGCCAGACCTTGAAGCTGCAAGGCCATTAAGTACTAATCAAGGTGGGCATTTACAACATTCATGCCTGGGTTGTTGTGAGTTTTCCAGGCTGTATGGCCATGTTCCAGAAGCATTCACGCCTGTCTCAAACAGACGAGTTTTGTGAGAGTTGAAGTCCAAAACCCTTGGAGGGCTGAAGTTTTCCCACACTGTAAAATTTGGCTCAATGCAGTGGAAGTATGACAAGGTCTTTCGCCTTTTTCTGCCAATGAGTGCTGGTGCCTCACCTAACCACAATCCCCGGGATTTCCTCGCACTGACAAAGGCAGTGAAAGTGGCGTCAAGGTACACTATCCCTACTATCTTGATGCTCTCTTGGCTGCTCTTCTAGTTGTCAGTTCAAGGACCAGGTTCCTAGGCGTCCCTCCTTCAGGCGAGTTCACACTGAACTGCCGGCAGGGTTGCTCAATGCCGGTCAGAAGCTAAACTTCTGGGAGGAATGCCACTCCCCCTTCCATCAGCAGGAAAACGGCGGCGATCCGGCGTGACGCCGCTTTCTGCAGCTCTTTCCAAACCCAGACACACACACACACACACAGACACACACACGAGGCGCATTGAACAGACCATCATTGCCTTCCTTGGCTGACCTGGGGTCAATCAAGGAAGGTGCCATCCAAGGTAGGTTGGTACATGATCACCCTCCTCTTTCTTCTCCTCTTCCCCTTCCCAACTTCCCACTGCAAAGGCTCAGATGCCCCCTTCAGCATCATCCCCGGGGTTCCAAACTGGAGGCGGGATCCCCCTTCCCAAAAGGAGAAATAAGGGAGTAAGGGAGAGGGCAAGGGAGCCGAAGCCCCTGCTGCACCCACTGCCAACCCACCCCAGCGTTTCCTTTCCTTTGTCAGAGGCGCCTCTCTCTCTCTCTCTCTCTCCAAGGCTTGGCATTTACCCGCTGGGTTGCGCCTCCTGGTGCTCCTCCGTCCTGGCGATCTCTTTCGTCTTGTAGAAGATCAGGAGGATGCTGATGGTGCAGATAGTCCACCTCTTCCGGACCGAACGCATGTCTCCAGCACAACAAGATGCTGTCTCTCTCCAGATGGATGATCGATGGGATAGATTTAGATACCTCTCTTTCTCTCTCTCTTTCTGCTTCCTTTGTTTGGCAGGATGGAAGGGGGGAAATACGGGTTGAAGCCAAAACAAAAGCCAGGCGTGCTGTCTAAAGCCGCGCGGTTGCGGCGGCGGCGGCGGGCTCCCTCCCTCCTGCTCCTCCTCTCTGTCCTCCTCCTCCTCCGCGGGGCAAAGTCCCGGCGGCCCCGAGCCTCTCCCGGCGCCGGTCTCCCATCGCCTCCCGATCCAGGCACAGCCCAGGCGAGTGCCGCCAGTCGCCGGGGCGTCGCTTGGCCCCGCCCAGCCCGTGGCGGGGAAAGGACGAGCCGCGGCCGGCCAATAAGGGACGAGGGGAGGCGGAGCCTAAGGACGCCCCAACTTCAGAGCAAGCAAGACCTGGACGCGTCGGAGAAGGGAGGCAGCCGGGCCGGGCGCCACCTTCACTGCTCTAGCTCGGGGCGCCCTCATTGGCTTAGGGAGGCACCGGCCCGATTGGTGGCGAGACAGAAAGAGAGACCAGGAAGGCAGACGCATCTCCAAGGGGAGCAGGAGGAGGGCGTCTTCCTATAGGTCAGGTATGGGCAAACCCATACCTCTCACCATCCTATCCTTCCTTCTCTCTTTCCTTCCTGCTTCCCTCCTTTCTCCTTCCCTTCCATCCTTCCCTCCTTCCATCTCTCTTTCCTTCCTCCTTACCTCCCTCCCTCCCTATCCCTTACAACCGTTAGAAATGAATAATGATGTTAACTATATGTTGGTCATTACTAATTGCGCTGTGTCTGTCTTTCCTTCTCTTTTCATCCTCCTTCCCTTCCTCCTTCCCTCTTTCTCCTTCCTTCCTTCTCTCTTTCCTTTATCCTTCCCTCCCTTCTTTTCTTCTTTCTTCTTTCTCTTCCCTTCTCCTTATTCCTTCTTCCTTCTCTCTTTCTTCCCTCCTTCCTTCCATCCTTCCCTCCCTTTTCTTCTTCCTTCTTTTTTTCTCCTTCTTCCTTCTTCTATCCTTCCTTCCTTCCCTTCCCTTCCTTCCTTCCCTCCCTCCCCCCTCTTTCTTCTTTCTTCCTTTGTCTTTTTCTTCTCTCTTTCCTTCCTCCTTCCCTCCTTCTTTCTCCTTCCCTTCCATCCTTTCATTCCTTCCTTCCCTTTCCTCCCTTTTCTTCTCCTTCCTTCCACCTTTGTCCTTCCCTCCTTCCTTCCCCTTTTCCTCCCTCTCTCCCTCTTTCTTCTTCCCCTCCCTTTTGTCTTCCTTCTTCCCTTTATCCTTCCCTCTCCTCCTCTTTCTTTCTTTCTTCCCATTTGTCTTTTCCCTTCTCTCTTTCCTTGATTCCTCCTCTCTCCTTCCCTTCCTTCCTTCTCTTTTTACTCCCTGCTTTCCTTCCTTACTTTTTCCTTCCTTCCCCCTTCCTTCCTTTTCTGTCCTTCTTTCTCTCTCCTCCTCTCCCCCTCTTCCCCTTCCATCTTTTCCCTCCTCCCTTTTTATCCCCCCATGCTTCCTTCTGTTGCGGTTTGTTAGTTTATATGGAAGCTACCCAGCAGCCTTCCCAGCTCCAGATCCCAAGTTGAATTACACAGAGTATAAAGGAAAAAAATCATTCCTCTTGAGTAGTCAACACAAGCAGCTTTATAAAGAAAAATACAGCAGCATTGAAAAAACACATTGTCCATCGCAGGAGAAAAAAACTTACAAAACAGTGCATTAATCTGCTTCTTTCCAGCAATCTTTGTGGAGTAGTTCCATCTCTGATCACTCCATCTCACCTACTACTTGCATCAAAAAAACCTTCACCTGATATACATTCACCTTAACTTGATTGCTACATTGTCCATGTGTTCTTCCTCAACACACATATAAGCAAGAGATGATTCTTGTCAAGACTTACAAAACCATATACTGTAACACTCCTCCTTGTGTGTAGAGGAAAACACAATACATAATATAATTACATGGTACACTCAAAAATTCCAAATCATTCAAAACATTCTGATATTTCTGTACACTCAGTGGCTTAGTTAGTACATCAGCTAGATTTAGATTTGTATTACAATATACTATATCAATTTCACCATTTTTCACTGCATCCCTTACACAACTGTACTTAATATCTACATGCTTGCTTCTTTGTTTTACTCTGGCCTGTGTTGCCATTGTGATGCATGTCTGATTATCCTCATATATTGTTGTTGGATCTTCAACAGGTATTTGCAAGTCTTTAAGCAGTTATACAAACTTCTGTATATGCTAAGCTAAGTGCACCAAACTCAGCCTCACAGAAACTTAAAGCTACATAACCTTGCTTCTTTGACT